GCGTGAAATCAAACTCTCCTTGAAAGTAGTGATAAGTTAACTAATCGCGGCTATTATTGTTGAAAATGACATATCGAGAATTAGATTGCTTTATAATGACAACATTTCCAGCATATACAGAAGTGGATCCCACGTGAATAGCTTTTTTTGCCAATAATAATAACACTTCGATTTTTTAGCATTGTCTGTGACGCGATAATCGTTAACTAGCGAAAAACCCAAAAGATAATTTCAGCTAAAATTAGTGACTTACGCGATCTTGGTTCGTGACTCATTTGAACGATCAATAGCTTGGCAACAAAATTAAATGAAATTAAATACATCTAAGCATGTTATTTCAGGTAATTGGACTGTACTTTTAGTTGGATTTAACTAAGCAAAAGAATCACTACTCTCTACAGATATTTTTAAAAGAATCGCATTTTTTAAATAAGAATTCAATTAAAGTCATTTAACTGAGATCTTAGAACAATGCTTACTTCCTGAAATGTAATTACTACTAAGATCATATTTCATTCAAATAACTTTTCTAAGTCAAAGTAAACTAATGCCAAAAACGTTATAGTCCATGTTTAATAGGCGTTTTTGTTAAACTATTAAGCTATAATAGAACAGAATGAATTCAATACACAATATTACATATAAGTTGTTTAGTTGTTCGTTCTCTGATGCTAAATTAATATTAAAAGTTATATTTTAATACCTTCGAATAACACTCAATAGCTTCATTACCCTGTAACTATTATTTTGGTTTGGTATACAAAAATATCTATAAATTATTAAGAATAATAGTCACCCCCAATTTGGCTGCAACATCGATCCATTAAATCCATTTTTTTCTGATTTGTGCTGCTAATAATGTGCGGTTAACTTTGCTGGCCAAAGAAGGCAAACACACAAAGATGGAATCAAAAATCCAAACAACTATATCCGGCTTGATTGAAAGGTAAATACAGCACAAATGGACAGGATCGGGAGCAGGAGAGATGGATGGTGGCCATGGACAAAGCGTCCTGGCTTTATAGCCACCTGCTGGGACCACCTGTTTAGATATGCCTCGGACAAAAGAGTCCCGGAATCGAGACAAAGAGCATAGCGATGTGGAAAATAATCAGTGATAAAATAAGAGCATAAAAGGACCGCCACCAAAAAGGGGTGGATAAATTATATTCGGGAGTGGAAATGGGAGTGGCACTTCTCAGGGGTGGACCGAATGAAAAGAAAAATTGTGTGCATTATCCTGCGGATTCATGTTAATAGGCCTCATTTAACGCTGCTGGGGTAGGATGGCTACCCATTTTGAAGACCTGCAATGCCAATAAAACCATAAAAATCACTTCTTTCCCCTTCCCTCTGCCCAAAACATGTTGGTAAGCAAAACGAGATACTCGTACTTCTTTCGGAACACAGTTTCTGTTTCATGTTTTGGTTTTTGGCCTTATCAATTGGTACATTCGGTGTGTGTGTTGTCTCTACTTGAGCACGAGGTAGGCACCTTGTAACCGGTGAAACAGAGTGTCAACAACAGTGTTGCCTTCTCAATGGGCAAATCTTGTACCAGTCCAGATACAGACGATATATACGATAACCGCAGGAACACACAGGGCACACAACTGAAAATAGAAAACGAGAAGAATGCACACGTTGCGTATTTATAGATACCCAACCAGATACTTAGATATCGCGGTGGGTAAAGCCTTATCAATGTTCAAGGTATCGACTGAAATGCCGTTCAAATATTTACACCAGCAGCAAAAAGATATTACCCTCCACCCGGAGCTACTGCTCCAGAGTCCGGACTCCGGAGAAGATGATAAGCGGGAGCGGACATGGGTGCGCTAATTGCGGAATGATAAAAACCGAAAGTAGCTAACCGTGGCGGCTACCATGGACTACCACTCCCTTGGACCACCAGCCCCTTCAATTGCCAACGGCCGCGGGCCAAAAACCACGCAAATGTTTCATCAACTCGGTTACCATTGCCAGGATTTCGGATTCAGTCAAATAATAAAAGCGCGAGCAAGTTATTCTCTATTTGGCAGTATAAAATTCAAATACTCTGGCTAAATGTTTGCACACATCGGTATTTACTATTATTTTTATTTCACTCTACAATTAGTGAACATTTAACAAGAGTTTTCAAATGGATTGTGCATTTTATTTGTTTTTCTAAAGGTATTTTTAAATGTACTGTTTATGGTAAACAAAACTATATGATTGTTTCGACTTAAAAACAAAGTAAACTCATGAAAAATAATAAAACTATAAGGTAATTTATTATTTCAATGGCTATGCTGAATTTAATAAAATTTTGAACAGATTTTTAATCAATTAAGCTCTGAAGACATATTATTGGTGACCCCGAAAGATTAATTAAGTGTTAAAATATCATAAAGATTTTTAAAAAGTATAAAAGAAATCTTATGTTTTTTATGCAAATAAATAAAAAATATATATTTTAAGGAAAGTATTATCTTCATATTTAAAGCGCAGAAAAATAAATAAATATATAGTCCTCCTTAAATTCAATGCTGAGAGCTGTTGAAAAATCGTAAAACTCTCTGCAAGAGTATGACAATTAAATAAAATAAGAATTCGTATCTCTGTTCACTTTGTTATTGCCAGCATTTTCGACTCGTATTTGCCTAAACCGGCCCCCAAGGAATACGAAAAATCTTCTGAACCCCAACACGTTGCTAGACAGTCCTTCGGTGGATGGGGGTATGGAATCGAGGATGAGGATGGGGATAAAAATGAGGATTCGGATGCGGATGCGGAAGCGGATGGGGATGCCTTGTTCAGTCCTCTCCGGGTTGTTGGCAGCTTCGAGCATATTACATAAAATAAGAAAAATTATGATTTTCACAAGGGGGGAAGGAAGTGGAAGAATTTCGGGTGGGCAGAGGGGCAGGCTGTTGCTTAACTGTCAAAATCGTGTAATTTAATAAAGTTCGCTGCGGGATATTGTTTTTTATAGAAGCCAGAGCAACATTGAGACAGCTTTTGCCAGCTGCCAAATGGGGAGTGGCTGGTAAATTGTGGCTGTTTTTTGTTCAGGGGAGATGGGGCAATGTGGCTCCTCAAAGTGTGCTGCACAAATACAAAAATATTCAGTTCGCTTTAGTTACATACAGCATTGCAACAACGCAATGTTGTCTTGTGGGCCCGCCACAGGCACTCCACAAACACACTCAAGGGGGACAAATACCCCATATATATATATATCTATATATATGGACATATATATCCATGGATATGAACATATATAGCTGCGCAATGTTTTCATACATTTCACTTGTTTACTCCAAAGCAGCGAAAAAAGTTTTTACTTTGGAAAATATACAGAACTTGTGCGTTGTGGCGAGTGGAAAGCAATTCTGGAGTGGAGACAACGTCTAAGACCTTTGCAAACGACAAAATCTAAATAAATGTTACTCCCAGTCTTACTTTCAAGTCCTTAAATCCACTTCCTATGCTCAAAATGTATTTTATTGACTTAAGGAACTTCCTTAATAAGTTTTACAAATGGAGGTCTTAGAAAAATTATTGGGGAAGTTTAACTAATGATTGCCTACCAATTTATATAAATATAAAAATGGAAATGTTAAAAGAAATACAATCCTCCATGAAACTATAAAATAAATTATAAAATAGTTTCAAGCAAGTTTTGGATTTCACAGTTACTTATTTTAAACTTCACAATTTGTTGTAACGTCTTATATACATTTTATATACACCTGTATTTAATAGCCCTCCAGTATATCCCTTTTTAAAGCTAGTCCCAGATGTCTTTGCTATTCTCAGCTGACATCTCCAACCATTTGTGTGTCGTTTATTTTTTACCAAGCGAAATTCCTATTTTATTTTATTAAGCAGCGAAGAAATATAAAAGTAAACAGTTGACTGCAAAAAACACACATGACTGTATACACCCTCCTGCTAAGAGGAAAAAATAAAAAAAAAAGAGAGAAGAAAGACAGGCCCTTACCCCGCAAAAACCCACGCCCACACGTTTCCAGCGTCATATGAACGCCCCATTATTTACTTAACATAACTTGAACATTCGCCTTCAACCCCCCGACCAAAAAAAAAATACCCTCCAAGGGGAGCATCAGACGTAGCCAAAAAAAAAAAGAAAGGAAAAATAAGAATCAGGTGGTGTGGGGGGGGTGGAAAATGAGAGTGGGGGGTGGAAGGTAGTCGCTTGGCTTACCTGCCAGCCGGCAGTTGGCTAGTCAAAAAGCTGTCGTCGATGCTAAGCGCAGACCCAGAAAGCCATCAAATATGCAGGAGGAGGAAATGTGCAGGACCCCACAATTCACCATCACAACCCAGGCCCAGAATTTCCGGAAAAATGGCGAAAAAATGATTTATGTGGACGCCATGCAAGAAGGAGAACGAACGAATGAACGAATGAACGAACGGACGGACGGACGGACGGGCGGAAACGAAAAGCCAACAATAACCGGGAAAAATAACAGAATCAACTGATTTCTCAACTTGGCTCTGGGCCTGCTTTTGTTTGCCAGACTTTTTGCTGGGGGATGCTGATAGACCCACAATTTTACCTTCCGTTTGGGACTTCATTCTTGTTTTTCCAGCAATGAAAAATGCTGAAAGTATGCTTCACAGACAGCGGGCTCCAATGGTATTGGGGTCACCGAAAAGGCATAAGATATTGATGTCCCCAAGGGGGGGTTGTTTTTTTTTAGGCCTGCACTTTGGAAAAACGTTACGGAATCCTTATAGATGGTGCATGAGATATTAATGCTAGAGGTTCTCATTTTCCAAGGAATGAAAAGATGTTCAACATAACTTAAAAAGATAGAAGAATGTTTATGTTTTGGTTGATGCTATAATTTATTTTTGTTGGTTGAAAATTATAGTTTTAAAACTTACACTTTAAAGTAAGACATTTAATGTAATGCTTAGAATTTTTAAATAAATTGATTAAAGAATGTTTGTTTAAGCAGCAAACAAAGAAACCTTGTAACTTTTGTCAAAGTCAAGGCTCAATTTTTATCCTACACCCATTCTGGTCTGAACTTCAAAATTCAAAAACAAGGTAAGTGTGTAATGAACTTCGAATATGTTTTATACTGTTCGTACGAACTTCTTTACACACAGATGTCCGATATCAACTTGGTTGCATACAACGTCTTTCGACGCGATCTGGCCAGGATCTTCAGGACATTCAATTCGTCTACACAAACCGATTTTACGGATGAAATCGGCACAAGCACTGACCTTGATGTCAAAGCCGGTTCGGAATCGAGTCTTTCAAAACTTTACGATCTGGAATTGGATTAGTTAGGTAGAATAATGGAAGAGGAGTCTTCATCTGAAAGGGAAAATCGTCCGGAAATCCCTGGGCCAAGTCGAAAGAGAAGTTATCCGAGTAGGTGGAAGACCGAGATGGAATCGATGGTGGTGAGAAAGAGGGTTCGACGATCGCAATCTGAAGCCAACATGGAATCTAGTAGAACAAGGCTTCTGGGATCGGTGCGTTCCAGGTCCCAAGAGCATCCACAAGTTATTGGGGACGTATCACCTAGTCAGTTGGGTCACCTAATGGAGACCTCATCGCAAACACCCCTCGAGGATATGCACTCTAGAACCAGTTCCATCAGCACCATCGGCAGTGCCCAACTTTCCACATCCGATTCTCAAACTTCTGGTTACACCACAGAGAGCAGTTACCAAACGGCCTCTGGATATGAACGCCTTCCACAAACCAGCTCCTATGCCAGTGTCCAGACTTACTACGGACCTCCACCCGCGGATTTCCTCCGGGAGATCCACGTGGCCATTGACCCTTCAGCCTCTGGAGAGGAGATTCAGTCGGTTCACCACGACCTGCGGGAGTTGCTGACCAACGAGATGGGTTTGATCGGAGGGGAGAATAATCAAGCCATCTATCTAATAGCATATCACTATATGTAGACAGGTTCTCCAAATTTATAGTTCATGATGCAGAAGAAGTTTTAAAAAACATATGATGATATAGAAAGTATTTTAAGATCGTTAGTGAAAAGCGCGCTCTGAGTCTCCCAAGTTATATACAATTATTTCTAAAATAAAATAAACATCAGCAATGCAAAAAAAATGTTTAATATTGTCTTAAAACAAAACATGGATTAAAACCCATGTATTAGCTTAGCTTTGTTAGTTCATTTTGGAATAACTTGGTTTTTATGAAAATTCCCAAAGGAAATAAATCTTATGCTTTCTCAAAAACAAAACTTATTGACCTCAGGCAAAATAAACAAACATTTGGAGACTCTTCAAAGGGAATTTCGCCCTTTTTAAAAGTCATCTATTTAATCACTTTTTCAGCTACGAATGGGCACGCTAACTCTCTTCAACCATTTCAATGGACAATCAGTTCTCGAATGAAGTGTTTGTTCATACTGCGTGATCTGCGCCTGTTGACATTATGACAAATTACATAAGCTAAAGGCAACAATTGCCGAAACCCATTCCGGATCGAAGGGAGGGAAAAAGGAAGGAAGGAAGGAAGGAATGAACAAGCCAAATACGGATACGCTTAGGCTGGTTTTTGGAGTGGGGTTTATGGGGTGGTTCGGGCTGTAGGCCCGTTAATAGGAAAGCCACACAAGAACTGCTAACGAAGGACACGCGGCCAGCGGTTGAGCGACAAGTGCCGGCAAGCCGGGAAAATGGCAGGACATTGAGGTTTTGGCTGTGGGGTGGATCGGCTGTTTGCTCAGCGCTAAGTGCACCGGTTCCGTGGGCAAGTGGAAATGATAAACATATTTACACAATTTTTGACAGGCGAACGGGTGAAACAAAACACCCGTGGGTGCAGTCCTCCAGCCCTTTCCCCCCACTCCACCCCCCTTATTTTTTCTGTAAGCATTTGAAACAACCGAAAAGAAAACCAAACCCAAACTCGATAAATATGTTTATGTGCAAATAACAAAATATTTGTCGATTGCCCAAAACGAGTGATGGAAGGGGTGGGACTTTGGGATCAGGGTAGGGCAGGATCTAAAAGGCCGAGGGGGGGGGGAGGGTTAAGGGCTGCTAAGGGAGGGGGGCGGTCCCAGGAAGCACCGCAAGCGCATAATTCAATTTTTCTGCTCGTTTTTGCACGTCGCCCGGCACACGTCATTCAAGTCCGCTGGGACATCGAACTGCCGAGCTACACCAGCTAAAGCTAACCCGGCCCAGCTGCACCGAGGAAAAAGTGTAGAACAAACAGATACAATTAGTACACAGAGAAAAAGGCCTTTAAGAAATCTGTTCTAATAAAATTTCAACCGAAAATTTAACAATTATTAAATTTAGCACAACCATTTAAATTCAGGCTTTTTTAATCGACTTATACAAAATCAGTAAAAACAAATGATTTTAAAGTTGGATTTCATACCATCCTTTTCGAAGACAGTCAGAGATTTATTGGAAATTAAAAACATAACAACACTTCAAATTAATTTAATAATTCGAGGACTTCATTCCTTTTGACTGCAGAATTATTGAAGGACAATTAAGTTTAGCACATTTTAATACTTTAAAATATTTTATTTCTGAAATATAAACATCATATATAAGACTTTCTGTTATGATTATGATGATTATGTAGATAAGGTAAAGATTTTTAAAAAACTCTATGTTTAAAACCTTTTTCTTTTTATAGTTTGCTCGTAAAATTCAAGCACTGTATTCAATTCGTACTATAAATGTAATTGTAAAATTATCCTAATCTTTTGGACATTTTCAGTTTAATACATTTTCACAAGATCGAAATTTGGCAATTGAATTTAACCATATCATTTTCTGAATGTGAAAATCCAGTTCTGGCTATCAGGTTTTCCCCGATTTCCCTGATTTTCCCTGAGTGCACGCACTTTGTCAGGGATGCAGCTGATATTAGTGACACGTGGCGAAGGCTCGACCAAGGCGATCCGAAGGTCCCAGCACATGCGGTTTCCGGGAACAGCCCCTCCCACCCCCTTTATTTATTTGTTTGTAATTACGCGTGTTCTCAAACGAAATCCCGCCGCACTTGAATTGAAGCCGTGAAAATGGAAAAATCGACTGAGCCTGCTCTTTTCAATGCCCAACTAGACGCGGAGCCACGTGCATTGGACCGCCTCTCCTGGTCTTCGGCTATTCCCAGCGCATTAGCAACAATGCCGGAGACATTCGGAGTTTGTCAACAGTTTCGCCTTCGGATTTGGTTACGGATTTGGCTTTTTTCCTTGTCAGCGGCGCGTGTCTCTGTCCGATGTCATCTTCTCCACTCCACTCCTCTCGAATCGACTCCACTCCACTCGACTCCAATCCGCAGTCAGTTGTCATCTTTCTGGACTGGCTTTTAGCCCGGGGATTGCCGATTGATTTGGCGTGGGATTTTCGAGAGGGATATATGCGTACACATGTGTGTACATATGCGGTGAATGTGGGGGACATGAAACGAAATCATAAATGTGACAAGCCAGGATCTTACTCGGTCGGTTTAAGCAACTCCGACAAAGAAATCCCTTTGACCAGCAACAAAACCGGGCAGTAATAAATCATCTGCTTGGTAAGTTGTTCAGCATATTTCGCCCAAAGAAAACTTTCTGCAGGAGTTTGCCAGTTATATATTGGCGTCCCCTCGGACCATATATTTCACCCGAGTGCATAAAAAAGTGGACGGGCAAACCAGAAGCAGCCACAACATTGAGCCCTCCTAAAAGGGCATTCGAAATGAGCTCCTCCGAGATGTGAAGATGGCGGTCTGCCACCGGGAAAGCTTTCGTATTTAATTGAAAAACACTTAAGCTGCCGGTCCGGGGTCGGAAGACGAAAATGGAAATGGAAATGGCAAAGGCAAAGCCAGGCCAACCGCAAGGCCCTCATATGACCCCAAAAGACCGACCCTATAACCCCAACTCATCTTCATCGCAAGACCTTTCTGGCTGTTCATAAAAACAAAAGGCGAGCGGCAAACAAAAACTTTGCATAATTAAAACGCGGCCCACACGTACAAATATCACCAAATGCCTTCCATTTGTGACACACTAAAAGGATTTTTAAAATAAGAATAAATTTAATATTCTTATTTTTAAATATTGAGACTGTAGCTTTATATGTTTAGTATTTTTAACAATACATTCTATAACATATCAATGTTAGGGATATAATTAACTTTTTTCGTGTTCCTTTAAAAAAAATTGTAATCCCAAGTAATATCTTTCCAGGTAGGGAAAAGTTTTTAAAAACATATTATATATGCAACGATTAAGTTTTTCCGACGAAATTGGAGATTTCATGATCAAATTTTGATATCTCAAATAGCATATAAATTGTATATAATAGTGCACTATATATATATAGCATGCTATTTATTCTTAAGGTTTCTACTAATATTACTTTGCTTTAGGGAAAAACATTTTAAACAAACATTTTATTCTCTGTGCAAAAAGGACTCCAAGGCAGATCTCAGATGGACATGGCTGAATCAAAGATGGCATGACTTGGCCACTTACCCTCGAGCGCACGGTTCCTGGAAATTAAGGCGAGCACCAGTTCGGGATTTGGGTCATCCTGGTCGACAGCCAGGTGATTGTGGTGCGGATGCTGTTGCTGCTGTTGCTGCTGCTGCCCACCGACCAGGTGCGATGCCTGCGGCGTGGGTGGCAATTGTTGCTGCTGCTGCTGTTGCTGTTGCTGATGGATATGCGGCTGATGTTGCTGGTGATTATCCATGACTGTCAGGTGCTGTTGTTGCTGCTGCTGCTGCTGCTGCTGCAGCTGTGGATGTTGCAACTGCGGATGCTGCTGGTGTTGATGTGGCTGCTGCTGATGCTGGTGATGATGATGTAGCGGTGGAGGTGGTTTCAGGGTTTGCATCATTGCTAAGAGGCCGGCGATTTGTACACGCGTCGAATGAGTTATATTTCAGTTAGCTTATATCAATTAGCACTCGGTTTTGATTTATGCCCTATTAAGTATAGAGAAACGTTTCTTTGGTTAGTATACCGCACTCGCGTCCCGTTTAACGGCAAAACGAGACCACTCCGCTAGGCGGGATCGCTGTCTGCTCGATAACTGGCATTGGCTCGTTTTTAACTCCGTTGACTGTTTAGGTTTCGGTTTCTGTTTTTTCCTTATCGCGGCGGTCTCTTTGGGGTTTTCGTTTCTTAGATTCTAGACTTGCCGTTCGGTTGGAATCGTGCCCAACGACGTTCGGCTGCCTCTATCAGTTAAAGTAGCCAGGGACTTGAACAATTCGAATTCGTTTGCGACACGGGGGACACTAGACCATCTATTGTTGGGGTGCTTTCGGCCACGCGAAAGTCAGCTGAATTTTATGTAAGTGGAGAAGAGCCAAATTGATCAATATATATGTATATATGCATATACGTATGATCATCGCATATCTATTCATTGTCTGGCCTTAGGTTAATTCTCGAGCAGAGACAGTCATTATTATTATCTACTGAAAAAGTCAAGGTCCGAGTACCTTTTATGAAAATATTATTAGCTGTGAAGTTGCTAAGTTAGTAATTGTCCTGCAGTCATTTTACAAATAGCTAATTGTTAGGAAATGCCTGTTTTATATATTTTAAGAAATTACCTTATTTTCCATAAAATAAGAAAATGTTCATCGCCAATACAAACTATTATTCATTTCATGTCAATTAATTGACGGCAGTAAAAAACAGTTTAAATTTTATGACTTGAAACACGTTTACAACATTTACTAAGTTGATTATAAGAGTATTTCAATTATAATTATAGTACATATTGAAATTTAAACTAGATCCTACATACAGAAATTAATTTAAATAAAAATGTAGAGTAAGGAATGTGTAAAGTTAGTCAATATTTTATATTATCTTTAATTTTTCATTCAGCTTATTGTCAAGTGTTGATCGAATTTATTTCAAAGGAGTCACTTTTTCTAATATTTCATATCTAGCACATCACATTGTTATTGACACAATAGCCATCGTTTATTTTCTTTAAAAGTTCCTCACATTATTTCCTATGTAATCCTTTTGATAACTTTAAGTTAGAAAGTCGCCAAATTAATTAATTTTTGTTACTTGTAAATACTTGACGATTAATTATAAATAAAATTATTATTTATTATTTACAAGACTTATTATTTTATTAGAAGCAAATAGTCTTTAAATTTTGTTTACATAAAATTTTAGCCCTTGACTTGCACTTTTTGAATGCATTATTTGTTTTCCACTTCCCAAGAGTACATCAGACTTTTATCGTTTTATTTGGGCTTGCAAACATTGCGACGGAAAATTTAAAACCAACTAAAACAAGCTGCATTTACCCTTTTTGAAGATTTATTCAGACACTTTCACATTTATTTCCAGTATTTATTAATTGATTCTACTTAAATTTTCGTTTATTTTTGTTATATTTTATATTGATTTTGTTGATTAATCCGTTTTATTTTGATTTGATTTGCAATCGCACACGAACACGATTTTATGCGAACGCCATTTTTGCGACGGCAACGGTAACGGTATCGTTAACGGAAACGACGACGGCAAATGCGAACCGAGTGCGTCAAAATGGCGACGGCATGGCTAACGGTAAATGGCTAACGGTACGTTACCAGCGACAACCCTGGACATGGCAACACTGGCCAGTAAACCTCTATTTGCCGCGCTGCATCTTTATTTATTTTCTTTGTCGTGCCGACTTCCTTCGCTTTTTTTTTGTATTTTGTATTTTGCGCACTTTTTCACGCTTTTATTTGGACTGTGAGCTTTTAACGATACTTTTTATGCCGCTTGCCTTTTGACCGCCCATATGGGTATGCTATGCGTATGCGTGTTATTTGTATGTGTGAGTGTGTGTTTGTGAGTGTGTGTTTACCAATTGATCTTAATGTGACACAAATGATATGGTAAAATGCATACAGCCAGCCCTGAATGGCAGGACAACAATGGCAACAAGGCGACAACGCCAAAAGCGACAACGTCGACATTTTTATGCTTGTTTTTTGGCCATGCGCATGTGTATCTCTCTCCCGATCTCATTCCACACACAACCCCCCAAAAAATTCCAAGAGCATTACAATATTTGTAAAACGTAAAAACTTTAGCCCCAAAAAAGAATAAAAAAAACGAAATACAGGGGAACTTTTGTTTCCCTCTGCCTCAAGAATTTCTAGCTGCATGAGTGCAGGAGGCAAAAAAAAAAAAGAAAAGTGGGTAGAACAAAAAGCCAACCAACGTCGAGCGACACCTTCGTTGGCCCCAAAACAACAGTAAACAGCACTTAAAAGTCAGCAGCGACGTCGGCAGAGACGAAACAAATATGAGAAACTTAACTCAAAAGTCCAAGTCAATACGCGCGCGGTCACCAAAAAGCAGGCTTCCAGGGGAAAAACAGGCACCGCCCCTTTATATTGAAATCATTGGAAATCGTTGATAGGCAAAAGCAACAAAAATCAAAAATCCAGGCATGCGCAGACAGTGGCATTATCTTATCGCCCCAGCGTCGCCATTAAAGTGGGTGGGTGGCTATACTATTCCTAGGGTTCGACGTCTTTCCAGCGCCGGCGCAGTTCAAAAATTCGCTATCGGATGGTGGGGGGGTTTGAGAAATAGCCAACCCGAAACACCCGGTATCCGTGCGCTTGCTGTATCTGCATAAGGAAGGTGTTGTCTGTCTGTAGCTTCAGACCCCCCTCCCTATATGTAGTATATCCACCATCCCATCCCAAAACCCCTCAAATGCGTTGCGTCTGCAAAAACGATTTTGTTTTCGCATTTATTTATGAGCCGCTTAGAGCGCGCCAAATACTTTGCCAAACACTTTGAACCCCAAAAACCCCAACGCCATCCCCGAAAAACTGAACACGGTTCTCTATAGTAGTTCCCCACCCACAGAAGTGGACACTAGAAGAAGGTCGTTTATGGGTTGGGTTCAACGGGATGGGGTACCCAAGTACCGCGAACAGCTGGAATCCATGGTTCGCTCGAAAAGTTTGTTGCACACCGATAAATTACAATTTAATGATGAAAATATTTGCACTTTAGGGATAACTAAGATTCACGTTTGTTAGAGAAAAAACCTAAGTTATTTTAAGGCAAAAGGAATTTTAATTATTATATTAACATGCCCAAAAACATATTCTATTTATGTTTTGTATATTATAAACAGAATATATAAATATTTTGTTAAGTAATAAATTTATTCAAATATGCCTTATTTGTGAATAAAGTCCAACAATGTTTAAAATATATTTTCAATGTGCACCCTGTATTTTTTGGTACCTATTAACAATGTGCAACAGCCATTAACACAGAAACACAGGTATACCCTTGAACCCAATGAGTACCGGGTTTTAAGATATATAGGCTAAGAGCATAAAAATGCAGCATGACCCTGAAAGTGATCGTGAATGGAAATGGCTGTTGAAATGCACTCAACGAAGACCGTTTCAAGTCGATCCAATTTTATCCAATCCCAATTTATGGTGTCCCATTCGGTGCTTCACTTCCGCGGTTACAAAATCAACTTTGACTTTCAAATTTTCCAACGCTTTGTTGGGACTATCTAATGGAGCCGTTAATGGTTAAACACATGAAGTATTTTGCCAAATGGGCTCGACTTGGGACAGTTAATTGCTGATGATGCGATAATATGGAACCGGATTGACAGTGATTCAGAGAGAAATACGGGGATTTAGTAAGCAAAGTATAGTTTCAATTCCACGACGGCTCATGTTTGGATAACACATTTTAATAGACAATTAACAAGCAGTTTATTTAAATTTTCTTCTTCGACATTTTTCACTTTTGTCTGGTGATCTTTTTTCTGTTTGTTTTGTGATAGTTATATAAATATAAATCTTGGCAATGGGCCGACACAAAAAACTTGCTGCCAGTGCACATTTTCACACATAGCCAGATTTTTATTGTTTTCCCTCTGAACTTTTTATTCGAGTGGAGGAGGGGGGGCCTACGCGACTACGACTTAAGATTCGGGGCCCATTGAGACTTGGTTAAAGCGCAGCCAGATCATTTGTAGATTCGAATGTCAGCGGTGCACAAGTGCGGAACTAACCGAGCGGCTAACTCTCAAACTTCCTCAAAAAGATCGCGCTTTAGTTTTGGATTAATCAGGATCATCCTTTGCCATGGATTTTGATGAGTTTCGTGACTTTGGTCATGCCTCTATCGAGTTTCTCATTAACTATCTGAGCGGGATACGAGATAGGTGTGTGTCGAGTAGAGGATAATCCTTTAAAACGTGTTTTGAACATGCCATCTCTTCCCCTAGAGACGTCCTACCCACCACCACTCCGTATGCGGTGATCAATCAACTGCCCAAGGAAATTCCCGAGCAACCGGAGCACTGGCGAGAAGTCCTCAAGGATCTGGAGACCATTATCCTGCCCGGTCTGACCCACTGGCAATCGCCGTACTTCAATGCCTTCTATCCGTCCTCCTCGTCGGCGGGCTCCATCATTGGTGAACTCCTGATCGCGGGCATCGGAGTCCTGGGCTTCAGTTGGGTGAGTAAACTATATGGGTCAAAAGTGATATTTTCCCACCGATTAAAAAAAATCAAAATTCAAATTAATAATATCTTAAATGTATTTAAGATCAGTGGATTCTCCTAAACATATAGTGATTTAGTGGTTATTAAAAATTTAAGAGAGCAAGGCTAAGAGAATGATCAGTAATAACCACTTAAATAAAACACCAAAACCGGAGTGTTGTATGTGGGAACAGTTTTAAGTCATCCTTCTAAACTGAAAAAGTTATTTTTTAACCATTATCAATACCATTTATCAAAATCAGTGTATAATATAATACATAATTTAAGTTTTAGCCAAATTTTGCTGGTTAGATGAACTAATTTCTTACGCTTAAATTTAATCAATCGTTTTTGTTAAAAGAGTAAAGGCTAAGAGAGAACTGATTAGGCGAAAAGAGCAGCGCAATAGCCTTAACAAAAAAGTGGGAACAGTTGGTAGGCATAGGCATTTGGAATCAGTGATTACTTTGGTTTGGTTGGTAACAAAACAGTCGGTCAAACAAATGCAGAACATGAGAAATCCCTATCGAATCCATAGTTCATAGAACTATGCAATCGGTATCTTTGGTAGTTTGGCACGATTATCGATTAAGAAAATTGCCAAGTAATTGTTTTTCTATAATGATATGGCGGAGCTATACGATCGCCATAAACTATTCTCCAGGCGTTCGTTTTGCACTGCCTAATCTTAGAGATTCGACACGCTTCAAGTCCCACTGTGCTATTTAAAGATGAGCCTTTAAAAAACAATAGCTATAAGAAAATTATAATAAAATAATAAATTATAATATAATTATAATTTGTCTATGCCTAGGTATAGGTAATAGTTTAAATTATTAAGGATTTTTTTATAATGTGTTTTTTTTTGTAAGGGCTATTAATAGATTCCAATTTTTGGTAACAACAAATTTTTGAATATTATTTTTGATTTATTTTTCAATAGCATTAAATTCCACATTTAATTGTTCAAATAATTCTGTGCAGTCAAAGACAAATTTTTTTTTTTTAATTAATAAAAAAATTCTTTTAACATGATAAAACTAAAGTAGCCAGATTTTGGGAAAACGACTAAACGGACAGCACTGGAGTCTGTCCAGAGAGGTCGGTGTATAAAAGCCGGTCGTCACCGGCGATCGGTTTCAGAGTGAACCTCAGGCGACTTGGAGTAGCATCACCGAATTGATTGGGAATCGTGTTGGGTAAACAAACCGAAAGCGGAAAAATAAAACCAAAACAAACAGAACGTGAAAAGTGCAAATAGAAAACGAAATCGAAACATTGTCAGCGAAATGGATGCCAAGGAGTTTCGGGAATTTGGCAAGGCCGCAGTCGATTTTGTGGCCGACTATCTGGA